AGACCAACAAAGACAAATAGACCGCTAAAACCATGTTCAGCTTATTTTTAAAACTTACTCTCCCGCATAAATTTATACCTAAACCTAAATACATAACCTAATAGTTGATTTTAAGTACTACAACTACTTGTATTTGGGTGCGTCATCTTACAAAAAGTTAAGCATGATTTCAGCGACACACGAAATATACCTAATGATGTATTTTTTTTGTTTGTGTAAAGCCAGCTAGAACGACATCTGAAAGATCCGTATCCAATAGTGAACTTAAAAAGGCTCTTATTAATCATAATTTTGGCCTTGGTTATGTCATGTGGTAACCAACCGTAATATTAGCAGGGCGATAATATATATGATCTTAAGAATCACAGCAACAGCAGGCAGCGTATAAATAACCCTATATCATACCGTGCGTTTCGTAAGAAGCAACAGAGGGAAAGGAAGGAGGAGGTAGAACTGAATCTTGAGACAGTCAGCAGCATCTTCTTAATAAAAAATCAAAATAAGAAAAAACTGCATTTACCAACCCACCTTTTCAACGTGGCATCTATGGCGAAATCCAATCAATTTGATGCAAACTTAGGGGGAGGCCCATGTTCAAAAGTACATTTGACAGGATGCATTAAAAGAATGTATGAGCTAACCATCTCGTAGATGCTAGATGCACCCAGACTGAGTGGCGGGAATTAGCATCAAGATCCGTCTTGTACTCCCATCGTCAATCTAACTATCAAACTTAATAACGGTTGAAGCCTGAAATCTTCATAGGAATGTAATTTCATACACATATATTATTAAAGACGTAAAAATCTATCAAGGTCTACGAAAGACCGGTTGATTTCTAAAAGAGTATTACAAAAAGAAAAAGAAGTCTCACCTCACAGTCCAATGCTGACCACAGGTCTCCCGTAGATTGCCCCATAAGGGGGATATTTTAGCAACCGCAGTTTATTTTATTTTCTAGTTTTTATAAAGAACACGCTGGTGCTCATCTCCTGGTTTGCTTTTTTCTTCGCCTCTTAAGAAAAAAAGCTTATCTTTAACATCCACGTGAATATATGGGGATATTCTTACACCGCCACCACGAGGCCAAGCTGCAGCCATATTATGGTTGTAGCACGGATAAGTCGGCTCGACCGGGGAGGGACCTCGCTCTCACAGAATACCTGCGAAAAATAGCAGCTTAACGCTGCTGTGTTTCGTATGGTGAGTATAGAGAACAGGAAAACCTTTTTACTGGAAACGAGGTATTACATCTTAATCCTTAAGGGTTTGATGCCATCGCATTCCTTGGGGGAGGCCTATGTTTAGTAGTGGAGTTGTGAATGATAGTGTTGATGAAACACTTAGTTATCTTAGCAAATTAAATGTAAGTTAATAATGTTATTATTATTTAAATGTTCGTTATAATTACAAAACAGTAAAAATACCACGTTGACATTATTGCAATCAATTAGACATTAAATGATTAATTAGTACTTTACGTATTGATATCGCTTTGGTGCTTATATCATAACTATTAGAGTTGATATATTTTAGTGTATAGAGTTTGATATTGTTTGAGAGTATGATTTCGAAATGTGATGTATTATTAGATCTAGTATTATGATAACAATATGATGGTTACAAAACATATTAATGTAATAAATTAAAGTAAATTAATTTACAGATACTGCATAAAACGTAGTTTCCAATCGATGCTCGATTTCAGTTACTTTTAATGTCATTTAATAATATACGTATAAACAGTGATTCCAGCCCTACAAGTGATCGAAATCGGGTTGCTAGCATACTCGTACTATGAAATTTCGCGTCGAGTACACCACCTCTGAGGGACTCTAAGGAATGTTTGAACAAAAATAAAATTAAAAATCGTCTTATACACTGTATGTGTATTGGGATTAGTGGCACAAGGGAAAGTGAACGCAATTAATGGGGTTCAAGAGGCGCACTTCAAACTGGGTAAAACACATAATTTTTTATTTTATTTATTAACACGGATCTTAGCTTATTAACTTTCACATCTTTTATATTATAACGGGTTTCCACAAGTTACAGATGCTACTATTAATCTATTAATAAGTATCTGTCAATTGATTAAAAATTGTAATTTTTTAAAATATTATTTCTTTAAAGAAATGAATATTATAAAGGTATAGCCTGAGTTTGTTTGTTCTGGTTTTTACCGCGGTAATAACTTAAGTACGAATTTTGTTGTGTGCACAGAAAATATAACATAGCAACGTATGTGTGTTATGAAATAAAAGTACTAACTTATTCTGATCTCCGGTAGATTAAAACGAGTGAGAAAGAAAAAATAAGAATATTTTGTTGAATATTCTTATTTCTTTCTTTAAAAACGTTATCTCTACACAAAGATTTTCTCCTGTATCGCGGAAACAGTTTACGTGTATAAATTTCACAAGGACAAACATCCAGACTCAGACTTATTATTTATAGACCACACAAATACTTGTTTCCGTGTGGGATTCGAACACGCGGTCGTCAGCGCCGCAACTCACTGCTAAGCCACTGCGCCACGGAGCCGTCAAATAATATATACTATACTATCACACAATAATATATACTCTCACATATGACGTTTTTACTGGCTGCTTCGTTGGTGTACTGGTTTTCATTACTTAGTCGGTTCGAGCTAAAATCAGTTATTGAGTTTTTATGTATAAACATTCACTGGCAGGTATTAGTCGAGAAATTGGCGGTGTTTGACCCCGTGCCATGGAATGCACATGAACGCGTTGGTCTCGCGCCTGACCTCTCTGCGTTAGTTTTGGATTCCGATGAGTGACGTATTAGAGAGTCTAAATAGAGTGTACCTGTGTTTGGTCGAACACTCGTGCACAATAATCCTCTCGCGAAAATGGCCAGTTTTCTTTGAAACTAGTCACCGAATTTCGGCTTGGATCACATTATGACATAGCGATAGATTAGTACAACTGGACGCTTAAACCAATAATCTTAAAAACTTTATCCTGATACACCTCTCTCGCTTCGTCCACATCCATATATCTACGAATACATGCTTGATGTCTAAGGGTACTCCATATTTGGTACCTCTTTAATATATCGATAATTAGTTCAATAAACTTCTGTCTAGACTTTACCTTTCCCAATCAGCCACTCGATTCACAGCATAAATTTGGTTTGCATTTTATATTTACTTTCTTTTATCTGAAACACATGTTTTTCTTTAGAGCAACTATATTTTTTTATTAAATCACATATGAACGATTTTTTCAGTTATTAATTCATTCCTATCCACTACTCCACTACTGAACAAAGACCGGAGGTTTCGTAATTAAGTAAATTCAGTTCTCAAAACAAATGATACGATTATCAAATCCCGTGGTGTGACACGTACGATGAAAAGAAAGTTTTATTGTCAGATATTTCGGTAGTAACTAACAGAGATCCTTTATATTATGTTGAAAGTTAGAAACTAATGTTTTTAAGGGGCTGATAGTGACGTAATGTACTAACAAATTTAAGCCTCTAGTAAACAGACTCACAAAATTAAATTCCTAATTATGTTTATATTAAAGTAAGCAACATAATATAAAAGCATACCCTTTTATGGTAGAGTCATGCTGCAGCCATATAATGTTTGTAGCATAGGACAAATCTTTAGAACAATAAAGTCCGTGTGTTCGTTTTTCATCCTTATTCTATTTAAAAAAATATAAACTAGGCTACAAAGTAAATTCTGAGTGAATAGTACATTAATCCAAACAATACATTGTTCTTTTTAATAAATATCATCCTAATTGCCACTGATATTATAATGACCGTTAGATAGTATTGAATAGAGATCAGTACACCTTCAGCCTTGCAATGAATTGGTGCGTACGAGTGACCGTCTGTTAGATTTCGCGATCAAGATTATTTTTCATATTATATTAAAGTGAAAAAGTCGTGTGAATCTTAGTGTACTTAATTTCCAGCTATAAGTATTCACAGCGTGTTTATTAATATTATAAACAAAATTATAGAAAATATAACATACTAATATCATTTAATAAAAAAATATTTATAAACAAAATAAGCTGCAGCGCTTTGAGGACTGGTTTTTTGGTACTACCATGCACCTGTACTGTTAGTCAAATGAAAAAATCTTACACTTTACCAATTAAATCTCATAAAAAACAAAATTAAATCGTGCAAACAAAATTAAACTTTTATTAATAGGTGTTGTATATAGATTTTACAAAATATTTTGACAGTAATTTACAGCACTAGTTAATTTGTATTACAAGCTAAATCAATTAACAGAGTTTAATCGTTAAAATAAAGTTTCTTTATTGGTATATAATACAGTAATTCAGTTATATCTTTACATTATTTAGATAAAATGCAGTTAATGCGTTCGCAACATGGTAACTGCTCTCTGATTATAAAAAATAAAGTAATAAATTCTAAAATAAATCATATTTATGCGTAGTAGCTGAACAATATAGTTAATTTTAAATAATATTATTAAAATCGATATTACGGCCCCAACATTTATAAATTTGTAAAAAATAAAATAAATTATTCACAACCTTTAAAATACAAAGTGCATTATTAAGTCTGATACTGCCATTATTAACCTATGTAAATAAAACTACTAAGCGTCTTTTTTTCCCTTAATTTTTTTATATAACGACATATTTTGTTATACGGATAGTAATCGCAAAGCTAAAGATACTTAATATAGATGTTTAGAAATGAAATGACAAAAGTTTATCCTCTTTTAATTACTCCGCATGTTGATCCGATCAAGACAAAACAAAAGCTAATTATCTACATTACATTATGTTTTATCTTAGTCTACGCTTAATTGATATAATACAAACATATCGAGCAAATAAATAATAAAAGAAATATCTGTGTCTCCATACAGACGTGTTTTTTGTTAAATCTAATAAAGATAGTTTAATATTTTTTTTATAAATAAAAGAAATGGGAATTACCTTACAGTTATAAAATCGATAAAAATTTGAAAAATGGCTGATAATAAAGAAGACACAAAGGAAAAAAGAGAAGTAAAGCCATTAAATGATGACATTAAAAAAAAGATCAAAAAGAAAACTTTAAAAGAAAAGCTGTGTTATATAAAAGATAATATTACTGTGGAGCCATTGTTAGCGGGCCTTATAATACCAAGTATTATATCGAGATTCGCAATGAGCAATTTCAACTTGGACAAAGCTTGTAGAGTCAATCAACAGTTTGGCGATGAAATATGTGATGCTCTCATTAAAAGATCTACAAATAACTATTCTAGTTACGAAAAAGAAATTCAAAAATTAATTTCGTCGATAGATATTTGGAAAGGCGTTATTCATACGGCTCTACCTTGCATTATTATTATGTTTTTGGGTGCTTGGAGTGACAGAACTGGCAAGAGAAAAATTTGTATTTTATTGCCAATTTTTGGAGAATTGGCAACTTCAGTAAGCAATTTGATCAATGTTTATTTTTTCTACGAAATACCAATCCAGGTTACAGTATTTCTAGAGATTATTTTTCCGTCTATAACTGGGGGTTGGGTGACTATGTTCCTTGGAGTATTTAGTTACATCAGTGATATAACTTCTGAAGAGTCTCGGACATTTAGAGTTGGTTTAGTGAATTTTTGTATGACTGCTGGTCTTCCTATAGGTATTGGATTGAGTGGGATCCTCTTACAGAAAATTGGTTACTACGGAATTTTTTCTATGACGACCGTGCTGTTTGTTCTTATTCTAATGTATGGATGCTTCTGTTTAAAAGAAACTGATGAATTGCTTCGAGAGAAAGGTCTACCGGTGGTAAGTTTATCATTTTTTTATTGCATTGTAAGCATACTTGTTATGGATTTTAGGGCAAGCCTATTAGAACTTATCATTTGATGTTTGTTAATTTCCATTTCATGGAAAACATATTGGAGCATAACCATAAAAAATCATGTTTTTTCCTTTAAAGTAAAATTTAACAATTTTCTCTCCTATCATGCTTAATACTTTTAGTGTAAATGAAAGATATCTGTCCCTTTTTTCTTACAAACTGAACATATTTAAAAAATTCATTCATACTTTAAAAATTACTAGCTGTTCCCGCGCCTTCGCCCCTTTTTCTAAAATAAAAGTAGCTTAAGTTACTCCTTATAAAATCAGCTATCTGTTTTTGAAGGTTCCGCCAAAATCGGTCCAGCCGTTTCGTAGATTAGCCGGAACGAACAGACAGACAGACGGACAAAAATTTTAAAAAATGTTTTTTTTTTGTTATAAGTACCGTTTATACTTTCATATGCTATTTGTAAAACGTTGTTATTTTGACATTACAAACAGATACTTCAATTTAATTTATTTGTATGTATATATAGATAAGCCGTAAATTCTAGCACGAATATTGGTAATGTTCGATTTGAACTACTTTTAATCTATATCATTTATAAGATATCAATTTTTTATCTAGGATTAATGAACTATTTAATACGTTTGATATTGTTTTTGTTTATTTCGAATATGTGTTTTTTAATTAATACTGCAATTTTAAAAGTCAAACCGTTGTTTAAAGTCATTTAAACTAACCTAACTAATCCTAACCTACATTTTAAATGACTTATAGAAAGCGTATTGAATTTAAATTATAATTTTTTGCTTAATTTAATTTTTCTTCTATACAGAAGGGTTCTTTGAAAAAACAAAAGCACTCAAGTACATCTTGAGATCTCAATACCCTTGAGACGGAAAAACAAATGCTAACCGCTTGATGCAATGTTCTATGTATTTCGAGATGTTGAAATAAAAAAAAAGTAAATAGATCGTGATGAAACATGAAGATCTGTATACAAAATCGATTGTGTAAACTGTAAACGAACCAGGCGTTGATTTGCATAAATTGAAATTTGAAATTATCATCACCATTAGCAACACATCTCATATTTTATAATTTTCAATTGCAACGCGTATGACTTTTTTTCATGTTACGCTTCAATTAGATAATGGTTAATGTATTCGAAAAAGAACTGCAATTGCTCATTTCATTTTATGTACTTCTTTTAATACCAGCTGTTCCCCGCGACTTCGCCCGCGTGGAATTTAGATTTCATGTTTTTAAATTTTTGGCACGGGACCCTTATTCTTTTCCTAAAATAAAAGTAGCTTCAGTTACTCCCTATAAAATCAGCTATCTGGCAGTGAAAGTTCCATCCAAAACGGTTCATAGGATTTTGCGTGATGCATATTCAGACAGACGTCGTATTAGACTTTTATTATAAAGGTACTATCTGTATCTCGTGACTTCGCCCGCATGGAATTTACTACGATTTAATGGGTTTAACTATAATTCTTTTTCTAAAATAAATGTATTCTAAATTACTCCTTATAACATCAGCTATTTGTTAGTGAAAGTCCCGTCAAAATCAGTCCAGCCGTTTCGGAGATTAGCCGGAACAAACAGACAGACAGACAGATAGCGTATATACCTAGTCAGGTCATAAGTATTGTCACACAGTAAAAACTTTACTTTTAGAATGCTGGCCACTTAAAAGTTTATTGAATTCGAATTTCAAATAGTTCATGAAAATAAAACTGTATACTTTTTAGAATTTTACTCATTTTTAGATATGGAGTGGACGCTTAAAGAAGACCGCGTTGCAGTTATTGCGTTGCATCGTTGCGGTTACGCGCCAATTCAAATTTTGACATACTGAAAAATTTAAATAAAACCAAAAGATTCGTTAATTGTACCATCAAACGATACAATGAAGACTCTAGTGTAAATGACAGGTCAAGAAGTGGTCGCCCTCGGTCTGTTAGGACTCCAGCAGTGATAAAAGCTGTAAAGGCGCGAATTCAAAGAAATCCCAAACGTAAGCAGAAACTGTTGGCCCTTCAGATGGTGTTAAGCAGAACCAAGGTGAAAAGGGTGTTTAATGAAGACTTAGGGCTTCGGGCATATCGAAGAAAAACAGAACATCGTTTGAATGCTCGTCTAATGGACCTGAGACTGAAGAGATGCCGCGCTTTGTTGAAGCGGTACGCGGGAAAAAATATCGGGAAATTCTGTTTTCGGATGAAAAAATTTTTACCGTAGAAGAGAGCTACAACAAACAAAATGATAAGTTGTACGCACACAGTAGTGAAGAAGCGAGCAACCGTATTCCGCGTGTCCAACGAGGTCATTTTCCATCCTCGCTCATGGTATGGTTGGGAGTTTCTTATTGGGACTTAACAGAGGTACATTTTTGTGAGAAAGGTGTAAAAACGAATGTAGTTGTGTATCAAAATACAGTCCTGACGAACCTTGTGGAACCTGTTTCTCATACCATGTTCAATAACAGGCACTGGATATTACAACAAGATTCGGCGCCAGCTCATAGAGCGAAGAGCACACAAGACTGGCTGGCGGCGCGTGAAATCGACTTCATCCGGCACGAAGACTGGCCCTCCTCCAGTCCAGATTTGAATCCGTTAGATTAAAAGATATGACAACACTTGGAAAAAAAGTCGTGATCAAAGTCTCATCCCAACTTGGAGTCACTCAAGACATCCTTGATTAAGGCAGCCGCCGATATTGACATGGACCTCGTTCGTGCTGCGATAGACGACTGGCCGCGCAGATTGAAGGCCTGTATTCAAAATCACGGAGGTCATTTCGAATAAACTTTAGTGTCATAAGAATCTAAGTTTTGTTAAATTCATTTTGGTATATAAATGGTTACATAATGAATAAACTTGTTTCAATTAATTTATATTAAACATGTGACAGAATTTATGACCTGACTAGGTACTTTCATATATACTAAAAAGCTTTTATTTTAACATTACAAACAGACACTTCAGTTTTATTTATTTGTATAGATAATAATAATGATAATAATAATAATTATTATTATAGTAAAAGTTAGATTCATAGAATATTAAAAATAAAAGTTTGCGGCTTACCAACACACATGTCACGCGTTACAAATTTTTCAAATATTCTCCCTATGAGGGATCTATGTTCAGCAGTAGACTTAGTAGCCTATAATAGTGACATTTATAAAAGAAATAGCTGCCATGGATTTAACGTTGTTGATGATGACGTTTTGATGACCGAATCAACTGGACAGCAAAGTCAAATCACAAAAAATTTGGTACACCGCTTATGCGATGAGTTCGTCAATAGTTTGGGATGATGTATCTGACGCATAGTGACTGATCATCCATCCATTTATTACTGCCTAAAAAAGTCCACTGCCGAACATAGGCCTCTCCTTACATTGCCTTATTAGAGAAATATTCGCCATAGTTACTTTGCTTGGCAGTTGCGTTGGCAACATCTCCAAGTTAGTTTCCCTCTGTTACCGTTTACAACACCCATGGCATGACATGGGCTAGAGGATACTTTTACATGGGATCGAGTCGGTCGGTAACGTAATTCATCTTAGTCGTACATAATCCATCCGCTATTTGGATCTAATCAGGCACAAAATGTAGGTGGCTATTGACTATAACATCCACTTATTATCTGGTGAACTTTGTGAAGGTATGTCACCCTGTTTTTAAGGCTAAGACTATAAACATCAGATGTCAGAATTCTGTTTGAAATAGAACCCGTAGTTAAACATTAATAGTGTTATTTTTCTAAATATTTTATAGCATGGCAAATTAAACACAACTTTGAAGCAGGAAATGTGCAATTTCAGTAGGTGACAATAATTTAGTATAATCAAAGATATTTTTAGTTTGATACCAACAATAGTTTTCGCATTCATTATTTCATAATAATGCAATAAACAGCGTTTGGAACGTTTCAAAGCATTAAGTATTATTTGTGAATGAAATGATTTGCATTTTTGTATCTTTATTTACTACACATACCTTTTATAAGTCATTTTTACGTTGTCCAAGGAACAAAATGTGGTTATGAATTCTCTTACGCTGCTACCGCTCTGTACAAATACGTCTTATCTATCAGTGGGGTTCAAACCCGGGTTGTTTCCGCGTAGCTCCTGAACTATAACGATTATTAACGCTTAGCGTTTACTTGAATTTATAATCGTCGTGGTATAAGCCAACTTGTAGTTCAGGGTTTTCATTTTATACAAGACTAGCTGTGCCCCGCGGTTTCACCCGCGTCATCACGTGTCCGAGGTGCGCGACATGACCTAGTTCAAGCATTTTATAACAGCTAGCTTTAAGCGTCGTTCGCGCGTTTTTTTAGACGGAGTAAAGGTCTATATTTTTCTAGAACATTGTATTTACGTATCCCTAACGATAACACCAGCTTACGCGGATAAATCATTTCGGGAGTGCTTTTTCTTCTGATTTGCTTAACAAATATCCATATTTAAGGCTAGATGAGTAATATAGCTTAATGCTAGATAGCCTATACTATTCCACATGAATCTGGCTATAATATACAAAAAGAAGTTTTCAAATCAGACTAGTAGTTCCAGAGATTAGCGCGTTTAAACAAACAAAAAAACAAAAAAAACTTTTCCGCTTTATTATATTAATTATAGATAACTAAAGGCTACCGTATAAGGAAACACACTAGTAAACCTACCATCACGTGGTAATAAGAACAATAATGTTACAATATCTTCTATTTTACAGGTAGACCGCAAAGGGGATCCCAGTGTATCCTTCTTCAATATTTCACACGTGGTAGATACTTTAAACGTTGCAACTCGGCGTCGACCATCCAACAGACGTGTGAAAGTAATTCTCACGCTTTTTAGTGTTTTCATTTTATACGGTCCTTCAATGTGTAAGTACTCTTATAACTGTAACTTGACGATGGTATTTATTAGTATTTTAGCGTAAATAATACGTTCAAAATTAAAATTTCATTGCTTTAATAAAATAAAATCTATAAATTGCGTTATAATTGTATAGTTTCAGTACGAGTACCTACTCCATAATCTTTATTTTAATAAATAATAATGTCCTTCTGACCGAATGTCGATGACGACAACTAGTCACAAAGGAGACTACAAATCATCGCAGGACAGGATTATAGTGCACTAGTATGTGCGCAAACAATACGCGCTTTCCGAGGATCGGATGAGAAACATTATCAGATTTTCTAGCCCCGGGCTGCCACATGATTCAAAACCGAATCACATCCTCAGCAGTCGCACTTTCGCCCACAAGACCAACGAAGAATTCAAATTATTTTGTAATATATACGAAACTCTATAAAAGACCGTGTACGAGTACAATAGGTATTATAAGCTGAAGACGAGTGATATGACAACATCGATATAATATCATATGTCACGAAGGAGTTGCAACATAATTATAAATCAATATCACGCATTTGGTGTTTGTCTAGCCTTGATAACTATGAATTAATATATTTGTATTTTCATTATTATATCATTTAGAAACATATCGCAGAGTCAGCACAACTTATTTGTGTCCTCTTCTTAGTTGTCAGCACGTATAAGTCCACTGCTGACACACGAGATGTGTTGCACCTTCAACGCTTACCAGATGCTTAACCAGCCAAAGCGATTTCTCATATTCATCTCTAACGACGCTCATATGACGAAATTAAATAACGGATTCCCTTGAGCCGCCACAATGCCATACTGACATTTGTACGTCAGTCAAAAATACTGTAAGTAGGTTATAAAACGAGTTCCTTTACCGCTAGATATAAGAGGAAGATTAAGGTCACTAAACGAGTTATAGAGAACGCTATGATTGATATTTGTATTGGTGAAATACTTCAAATAAGAACCAGAATAAATAATATGGCCTAAAGGATCAGTAAGCCATAATGCGTTTCCCACATGGCCCACGCATTGCTGTTTTGGCTTACTAATCCTCATGCGTATAGAAAAACTGACAACCGAAAAACATGTAGTGAAAAGTGTAGGACAGTCCTTCTCTAGATAGAGTGATGACCTGATAAGAATGTAGGAAGATAATGGATTCTGGTGGCTCAGGATTGTACTTTCTGTCGATTTATGGTGGAGCTCTATGTTTAGCAGTGGCCTTGTGTTGGAGTATAGGAAGTAAGCGCGAGATATTAAAACTAATTTTACCCATGTACTTACCTTGATTGAATAGCAATATTTTTATTATTTTACATAAAGTAATTCCAATTCACCATTGGTATTTTTAAACTTTAATATTTACAGCGGAACATACGATATTTTATTTGTTCGTAAGAAATCGCTTGAACTGGGATATGGTGAAATATGGTCTCTTCACAAGCTATTCTATCGTACTTCATTCCTTTGGTAAGTTTTTAATTTCATAAACTTTAAGTTCATTAGTAATTGTACAATTCTGTTTAGCTTAAGGATAGGATATCCGTGGCAAACAAAGAATAAACTGTCGCCATGATATTGCATCGCATACAGCGAGCAATCCGAGTTCGACATCTGCTGCACCAATAAAAAAATTGATTATAATTTTAAGCGGTAATTTATGTTAAATTGCTCGTCGGTGAAGAACAAACATCGTGACGACACAAAAGTAGAAACTCCGTTCCGTTACAGCCTTTTAAAGTCCACTGGTGAACCTAGGCCTCACGAACAAATTGCCTTAGTTGCTATAGTTATTTGCCATAGTTGCCACGCTTGGCAAACGTGACGAAGATAATTTGAAGACGCTACTGTCCATCCTCTGATTTGTTTCCCTCTGTCACCTCTTCCGGTACCCAGGGGATGATATGGGGTAGTACATATTCATACAGTGCCACTACACGGTAGGACACGGAGTAAACAAAAGCAAAAAATGCTTAATGAAAATTTCAGAAAGAAACGATTAATAACACTCGTATAGAAAATACCGAAAATCAATAGACATTGAGCAATGCAGCAATGAGCATGTTTTAATTGAAAGTATACAAGACCAATAAATGATCTTCCCTTTTATGGTATTTTACACGATATTACATAGAAGAGATTCGTTCTTCTCAGTGCAACTTGAATAAAGCGCTTAAATTCCATTTAACTCTCATTTATTTTTTGATTATTTTTTGTTATTAAAAATTCTATATAAAAGATAGTTGGAGTCGAAATAGCTTAGTAGTTAGACGCATACTGTCAATTATATAGTGCAATAAAAATCAATTTTAAGCAACAACGTTTACAAAGTTCTCGGCGGTGAAAGAAGCCGTCGTAGATCCCTACCATCATGTTAGAGAAAAAAAAATATTTCGAAAACACGTGAAGTCTATCCTACGGTATTGTGAAATTGCTATTATCATCACTTTTGCCGTGTCTAGGCCATGCATAAAACTTGTTTACTAATTGATAAAGATAATGTGGATTATAAATAACCTGAATTTTATGCTTGACTAATCTATAAACAACAAAAATGTTTTAAAATTGATTTTATAAATTCATACTGTAACATTTTTACATTTAAAATTTATGTACATAGCTTCATGTGTATTTTTTTCTTTTCAGGAGCAATGTTCTCGATCGCGATTCTGAGTAAACGTCTTCAAGTAGATGACTCTTTCCTATGTCTGTTGTCGATCAGCAGCAAGTTTGTCGGTTCTATTTGGACAGCTTTTGTTAAAACTGATATTGAGATGTATTTAGGTAAATGCACTTTAAGCTATAAAATAAATATGATTAATAATAATTATTTTGCAAAATGCTCCTCGATACCGCCGGGTTTGGTTTCGCCTGTCGAGGGCTTCAATCTAGTTGGGTTCTTATTTATTTATACAGCTCAAATAGATAAGAATGCTGTATTGATGCCCTATAGTTATCTTTACGGGAGACCCTTTTTACTTGAAAAGAGGCATTCCATATGAGTCCTCAGTGGTGACAATGCATCTGCATTTTTATTTAGATTCAGTGTAGATTAGAGCAATTAATTGGAATGCCTAAGTTTAAAGTGAAAGTAAAATTAAAAAAAAAATTCAGATCCGCGACGGAGAGAAACATCAAAGATGCGAGACTTAGCATTACAACTGTCCACCCGTCAAAGAGAGAGAGAGGGAGACAGAGAGAGATTCAGTCTCTCTCACAACAGAAAATTCAGAAGTCGACTGCTTACGATCTGACAATGATGACGAAGATGACTTACGTTTCGCAATTTGTAAATAAGAATAAATTGTGTTTTTTTTCAGTTCCCGTGGCTGAAATACTAAATGCCACGACTATTACGTCTCTGCGGTCGATTATTTCAAAACTAGTTGAAAAACAAGAAACTGGTAAGTTCGTCAAATTTTCAATAACGACATAGTGTAATAATAATAAGTAATGTATACATAGTGGCTATATTATATGCGTTATAATGTATTTACATAGCTGTTGTTGATTATTCTTGATAAATGTAATATAATAATAATACATAGACTGTAATAAAAAATTATAATCATTTTTTTAAATAAACATATGTCGTCAGAAATGTATAGGCTACTCTTATCTTCAAGAGATTAAATAAGCAGCAAAATGTTGCCGCTTTTCTTTTAGTATTCGATGAACTTCAAGTGATCTTGTCTTTTCGTACACTTCTGAAATTAATCTGATAAATATAATTGATTAATTTAAACCAATTCAATATCTTTGACATGCTAGATTTCATCAGATATTTTAGATATTAATATTTGTCAATGTTATCAAGATCCAGAAATGATCCATGCGAAGCTGGAGTGGACCGCTAGTTGAATATTTCGTAAATAATAGTTCTGTATAGTAATATGTAATAATAATAACTTTGTGTTTTAATGCTTTTTATAGTCTCAAGGGGCACTGACATATTATTGGTGCCTCAGGAGAAACGCCGATAATTGTTATGCAATCCAAGCTTGTACTCAGTTTTTCGATTCCACATAAATATTTTGTATAAATCATCAACAATATCTACAGCGCATTCTGTCTTATCACAAAATTGGTTTATTGATAGTCTCGCGTATAAGGTATAATTTAAGATGAGTTTTAATTAAAGAAGACCATTAGCCGTGGCAGCGCCGCTGATTACTAGAAATTTGACAATTCCTATCACATACGTATATTTTCGCGGGACCTCTTTCATGAAGTAGGATATAGCTTAAACCTGAGACCAATTATAGGATAATTTATGGAATAAGTCTAATTATGTACCGTATAAACGTGAATAGAAAAATATGACAGATATTACCAGCGTTTTTACATTTATTATTCGTTTTAAATTGAATCGTTTTTGTACTTTTATTTTATCACACTAAATCGTTGAAGATAGTTTTTTCTGTTTTTATTGTTTAAGTTAGGTTTATTTATAGTTTATTTATGTTGTTTATTATTACTGTTGTTATTTTAAGTTAGAATAATTTAACCAACTCTGCCACATTCAAGGCTGCATATTTCATGTTTATGATTTTTAATGAAAAGACAATTTCATTAAAAATTTATTTGCTTTCATAAAAAAACGATTTTTTTTTCCTTTGTTACAGCTAAAGTGAACTCATTGTTTTCCCTAACGGAGACGCTTGCGTCTCTTGTGTTCCATCCATTCTACTCTTGGGTGTACATGAAGACGCTTTATACGCTTCCTGGGGCAGTATTCCTCATTAGTGCAGCTTTTATTGTACCCGCTGTTTTTATTCTCTTGTAAGTTTATAAATTTACGAGTTTATAAGTCTTTACACTAGAATTTGAAGTGACAAATAAAATATCATTTCAACTGTTGAGGAAATGTAATAAAAGTTTATAAAGGTTTTAAAGAACGCGATTGGATATTTTAAATGAATTCAAAATAAGCACAAAAAATATTTAAGTAAAACTGGAACCACTATTATCGGGATTATCAGTTAAATTATGTCTATTGCTTGTGATAAGCATATCCAAGAACAAGCCGGTAGGCGTTCAAGTACATCAAGTTCTTTGCATAGCTTTTACCGGTCTGCAAAATTTAGATTAATTTTTTATGCATTTTATGTCCCAAATAAGTCGCCGGAGCGTCTTCCGTCAATTGACGGCAACTTATCTATTCATTTCATCTCGTGGTTGTCGCAACTCAGAAAATGGTGAATAAAATCCCTTTAAGCGAATTGAATCACTTAACGTTTTGTCGGTCGGTGGCGGAGAACATTGTCTATGGACTAAAATTTGGGCAGTCAATACGCCTATCAAGCGTTGCACATACGTTGAAATTTTCCCACTACTGAAGTGCTTATGAACTAAGGAGAAGGAATGTGTTGATTTGTAATAGTGGTATCTGTTGGGAATGTGTTGTTTGTATAGTGTTGGTTTGTAATAAACAGCGATACGAACCCAATGACCCCATATGACTAGTGATGGAAAGCATATCGCCTGCGCAGCGTGAAATTCTTTTAAATCAATCTTGAAAATGCGTACGTCCAACACTCTACGCTCAGAGCATGCGGTGTATACCTTTAATTGATTGTGAAATTAATATATCAGTTCATGTGTGCATAAAATTTCTGCATTGTTGCAATAATTGTTGGTATACTTAAATAAATAAATAAACACGGAATTAAAAAGACGTATAACAACGAAAAACGAAGACGGTAAGTTACAAATGCGTTTAAAGTACCTGCAACTGTTGCAAGAGGTCACTTCAGCGCATGAACAGAGCCACACTGTAGCTATATTAGAAATATAGTTGCAGCATGAATGGGTCGGCTCGATCGGGGAAGGACCACGTTCTCACAGAATACCAGCTTAAAATTGCAGCTTAATGCTGTGTTTCGTATGGTGAGTGTAGCAAACTGGAAACTCCTTTTACTGGAAACGAGACATTCCATCTTAGTCCTCACGGGTTACAACGCATCTGCATTTTGATTCGTAGTTGAGGATAGATGTAAATGTCTATAGGTCACAGCAACTACTTACCATCAGATGGACTGTGTGCTCGTTTGTCACCCTTATCATATTAAAAAAAGAACGATACTCTAACAAATAAGATATCGCTGCTTCCATTAAGGACTTAATTATAATATCTATTTCAAGAATTCCTCAGTTATGAAGTCAAAACTTATCAATTGTTCGAAATACAATTAACACCTTATCTGCTATTAATACTATCATAGTCACACTGATTGTATAGTTTATGTGATATTTTTCTGAATATAATTAAAGAAAAGAGAATATGAAAATGGAAATAAGTTAGAAATCAAAATAATTTTGCCTTTTGCAGGTCCTTCTTTATCCAGCACAGAATAGAATTGAAAAACGCTAGAAAAACCGCATTAGAAGCTGAAGAAAAGAAGGATATAGAAACCGCAAGATCATCTAAAAGCAATTACTTACCAGAAAGCATAAAAAGAATAGATGAAGATATAAAGGGAAAACTTTCTTGATTATTAAGTAGATCATACAGTACTAATAAACTATTTACTTTATTTTGTAAGTAGGGTCAATGAATTGTTAAGTATTAATCAAACCCTTGTATTTAAACAGTCAAGGAGTTTAAGTAGGCTCGTAATCAATATCATACGAGAATGCTGTGATTTCTTTTATCAGTGTGAGTAGTGTTACATTATAGGACTATTATAATTTTATTAGAACAAGTATGTGATATTGGGGGATAATTTTGTATATTGAAATACAGAATGAATGTCTTAGCGTCTAAAATAATACATTTTTATTTAGAATATCTACATTTGGAAGAATTAAAATATAGGTCTAATATTACAGTTGAGGGCTAAGATGCAAGAACTTACTACATTAGTTAAATATTTCACTTTCTTATATTTTGCGTATTTGCACGGTCTTGAGGAATATAAATTTATCGACTGTGTATTTACTTCAACATATTGTTATTGTATTTAGTTTGACATTGACTTCCTCGTTGCTCTAGTGACATGACTGCGGTACTGCTGATGAAGTAGTCCTCAGTTCGAATTTCGGCTCGTATATAAAATCAACAATTGAGTTTTTCTATCAAGAAGCTCAGTAGCAGCCTAGGAACAAGAAAGTGGCGATTTTTCACTCCCATGTTTTAGAAACCAAGTAATTTTGTTGTTCCAGCGCCTGGTCTCTGTCTAGTTATGTCGGGTTTACGTTCCTATGGTCTATGAGAGCGAGGAAATAGAGACATACAAACAAACATGTGCACTATAATCCTGTCTTGTACTGAGAGTCTCCGTTGAGACCGACCGAGCGACTGAAATTCGGTCTGTAGGACAGTATAGTAGAAGATAGCATTTCTTTCACATCAGCCTTGTTTCTATTCCTATAAGTTATGAGGACAGTCCATTACGACTTCATATTACAAATATTTTGGACTATTTTGGTTACACAAGTTCAGCTATAAATAAATAATAATAAATAAATAAACACATAAATTTTATTTCGTTTTAAAAAGTACATACTTTAAATACTAGTAGATTGGAACCTCCATTTAAGACATAACATTGTAAATTTCATCTGAGAGACACTTCGATCTTAAGGTTTAAGCAAGTACAGTATTGGAAGAGAAATCTAGTAAATTTCAAGTTAAATTTTCTTCCTTGTTTTCATAGTTTTATCAAAAAATAACTGTATTTTACTTTTTTTTTACCCTAACATGTAAAGTTTTCTTTTTTTGCCATTATATCGCAGAATATCCTTACTAGAAAACAAACTATTATTGAAAATCAGATCTGGTTATGCTTTGAAGGTCCCCTTGGCTCTGTTAAGTGTCCTGTGCGCCAGAGCCAGTGCTAGACCAGAGCCAGGCCTAGACGAATAAGCGTGTCTATGCTTGCATGTACACTTTTGACATTATTAAAAAGTGTGCGTTCTAAACAAAATGCGACTAAGAGGATATTTTCATCATCAACATCAATGTTATATTAAAATTTCAAATAAAAACTACTGCGAATAAATGATACAAAGGATCCTATTAAAAGATCTTCTCTCTATTAACTCTTTCATTTATTCGCGAGTGTAATCTGACGAAAAATTTGATAAGATTTAGTATTTTTGTAATGATTTCAGCACTTATACACATTTTGTACCTTAGTTTAACACACAGTTTGTAGTAACACTTCGAATGATATATTTATATATTAAATGTATAATTAATGAAGCAATTAATATTTGCATAATTTCACTGAATAAATTGTTATTATAAATACATTTTAATTATTATGATTTTAATGCAACGATAGGTTGTACTCTTTTGGTTGTACATACTTATTGTATTTTTGGGCCAATGATGAAAAAGAAAATGGGCTGGCACGACGGGCAAGGACCACACATTCACAGAATACCAATGTGAATGGGTGGAGAGTTTAATGCTAAACTCTAAGGTCAGACCAATAGTTTTTGAGTTAAGAATAACTCAAAAACTATTGGTCTGACCTTGATCAAACTCATATGAGAGCACACGAGAAGTATCAGCTTTTATATAAAAAAGAATGCAATAGCCAAGAATTCTTTACAACAATGTGGAAAAAGGATAAACGTACATGATACGACATTTATGCCCCATGTTGGAACGAGTGCAGAATAAGCTTATAAAACACGTGTGTATTGAGTGATACTTTTTACTGGGTGAACCGATTTTGATGATTCTTTTTTATTTGAAAGCTGGTACTTCTCGTGTGGTCTCATATAAATTTGATCAAGGTCAGATTAATAGTTTTTGAGTTATTCTTAATAACTTATATTGAAGTCGGCTGTACAAATTTTTTAATTTTAAATTATATTGTCAAAGGCATTCAATCATAATATTCGAAGATTTACTTATGGTCCGTAGAAGGAATTGGTTAATAGACAAATATTTTATCAACATATTTACTTTGTAAGGTTAATAAGATTTCTTGACTTTGTGTGAGTAAGCTACTAGGATTGAATATTGTGGTGATATTTTTTCCTTAAGGTTAAACGGTACCGAGTTTAATTATGTACTATACATAATTTAAAATTAAAAATTTTGTACAGCCGACTGTCCTGAAGTCCGTCAGTTCAAAGTCAAAGTTTAGTAATTGTCGTCTTAATTTGAATATTAAAGAAGTGGCATCAGCAAATAACACTATATCATAGTTATCCCTTAATATGTAATTACATTACACACGTCATTAATGTATTCAAGAAATAGAAAGGGACCAAGAATTGAGCCTAGAGGCACGCCCATTTGTGCCATCGACCCGGAACAACTCATACTGGTAAAATTTTTTGTACCCACATTTACATTTTGTATAAGTAATGATTCGGCGACTGCAGGAGAAGAATTCAATGAATAAAACAAATGATGATGAAAGAGTTAGATGGTTAGGTTTATATAAATAAATTCTTCATTTTTTTTTAATTTAAGGAGTTGGCCCTTAATTCGATCATGTGGTCAATTCGCTAAAATTATTTTGTCGGATGATAAATAGCAGCAGCTTAATCTAAATAAAGAATGTGGAAACAACCAGCTTGAAAGTACAGTAGATTTTACTTATAAGGACAATGAAGGGACCGGTCTAATTTCGTCACTATATCCGGAACTCGCTCTATCTACAGGTAGAAGTGGGAAGGACAGAAAATTTGACATTAAGAAAGCGTCAAAATAATATTTATTGTCAAATATGTTTAACAGTCATACAATACGACTATTGTGGAAGAGTCTCGCAAAGTCAATAGCTTGTTGTTGTAACAGTCGACCACTTATGGGAACGTTTTGGATTCTTTAATTTTCAAATCACATTAGAAGAGCATTTTCTATATCTTCATGAGCTATTCTACGATTTTTTTGCAGTCCAAAATTTTGTTTCTGCGCATTGCATAATTTCAGAGTGGATTTTCCACATCATTGCTTTCAGCATTCACAATCCTTGAAATAATATCTACTTTTTCTTTAACCGTTAACGTTCTCCTAATAGATGTCATAATGAAGAAACGACCTAACATCCCAAAAATTACTGAGTAACTAATTTTAATCGTATTATCACAACTACCGACCATCTGAGATTAGGAACGAGAGATAAGAAAGCTTAATGACTCTATAAATGAGCCTTTGGGTATTTGTTGGTTGACTCGTTCATTAACTAAAGACTCGGTCTTACAACTTGCGAGAAATTTCAGGGAATTCCTTATGAATAATTCATTAAAATTGGTCGCTATACCCGAAATTGTTGTTATATCCGAAGTCGCTATAACCAAAGTATTCTCTATCAAAAGTATATGTTGCATTCAAGGAACTTCAAAAAACGTCACTATAACCGAAAAATCTATAAAACAGGAGTCGTTTTTAATGAAATATCTGCGCCCCCTTTTCCCTAAAAAGGGTCGCTTCCGATTCGGCAGAAAGGCCACAAAAGCCAATGCCAGTCTCACAGGTGGTGTTTAGTGGGTAGGCACTTTGGTTTTTGCAGTGAGTCCCACATAACCACGACAGCCGGCTGTTGTGGTATGCTTAGAGCCTTCACCACCTCCCTTCCTCGCTTCCCGGAGGGTAGCATTTTCCATTGCATCTACGCGCAAAAAAATGAAATCCACAATGTCTTTGAAAAATATCTTTACCAAATCTAATAAAAATTATAGTCAGAGAAAAGTACTTTTTATTTGTTCTCAGAATCACGTAAATATTTTGCTATATACTATCAGTAAGTTTTATTAGATATGCCTTGTATTTAGCTAAGCTATTAAAATCAATAATTAATGATTCATAGAAATGATATATGAACAAAATTTTGGAAACGATGATATTATTATATTAAACATTTTGGAACTTTAACTTTACTACAAAATTTCAAAAACGAAGATTTTGAATAAATAATTATTAAAAATTATATAAAAATATCTAACTACTGGTGTAAAACGGTACGGTGAAATTGATCACAATCGCTCGGATCGCTATCGACAAAAATCTTGTAATGGCCTGCTTATTGGCATAGGAAGAAGAAAATAAAATTCAAAGAAAAAGAAAATTCAAGATTCACAATATTAATTTAAAGAGGCAGTTATATGGAGAATATTATACGTCATATAAAGACGCGTGCTTATTACTCAGTCTTAGTGTATGACTCAGTATTATTTAGATAATGATAAACGATTTTACAGATATTTGCATTTGATGGATGGATCGTACATATAAAAAGTAAATACCCCTGAAATTAAGTAAAATATATTTCGAAACGTGTAAGTGGGTTAATGATGGAGTGATCATTGAAACTTTATTCTACTGAATCACTAGAAAAACACTAGCTACTGTTTACAATATTTATCCATGAAAAGGATAGTCGAAACCATCAGTAAGTGGAAAATCCACTAACTTGGCAACATTAGGTAATAATGAGTATCACCACGTGCCGAACGCACCATATTATATGACGTCATCAGCATGCCTCCTTCAATATTCGGATACCTACCGCATTTTACAAAATATGGC